TGCGCCACCGGGCCGGCCCAGAAAGCATACATTTCTAAAAAAAAAAATCTATATACTGTGATGCTAATATACAGTCAATAATTAAATTCAACACTTTGCTTCTCATAATTTTAACTATTTTCTTTATGGGAAAAATCAGATATTTTTCTTGCAACAGGAGATTTGGGGCACTTTTGGTGAATATAGTAAATGAGTAATGCCTGAGAGGGATCCAAAGGAAGGGAGCCATGACTCCACTGATATGGAAAAACATCTCCATAAAATTAACATAGTGTTTACATTGTTGGCTCTTTGCTTATTGTTTAGTTTATTTATGCATTGTTATGTAAAACAGTGTATATCTAGCTACTACTTATTCAAGGTTTAGGTAACTCCATGGCAGAAATCTCCCTTAAGTTACATGGGATGAAAATCAAGTTCAACATTAATTTTTGAAAATGAACAACAACAGCAATGATAACAAGAACGTTTGTTTTTGAAAAGGAGACAAAATGAAAATGAATTCCTGTTCTACAATTTAGATTTTAGTTTCCATCCATCAAACCACTGAATGAAATATTAGTACTAAATGATTTTTGATCGTTCTAATGGGTTGCATAGTTACTTTTCTATTTAGAAAGTTAATCTTTATGATGTATCCATGTTTCGTGCTAACTTGGAAGAAACTGGCTATGAATATACTTAGGTTAATTTGGGAATTGAAAGTTTTTTCTGTTTCAAATACTGCTCTGCCTCCAGGAAAACAATGTGTAGGGAGATACTCAACATAATCTTTAGAATTACTGGGAAATTGGTGAAGAGTTTTAAGAGTTTTGAAACTAACCTGGGTGAAATGTCACATCCTTGCTGCATAAAAGCACCCAGGGAAAACCACAGGCTGTTAAAGATGCCAAACTCATTGGGAGGCTGGTCGCTGGGTCCTTCCTTTCCATCCTCTGGCTCTTCTGTGTGCCACTCATATGGACTAAACCTACTAACTAGGAACAAGACCACGCTGACACCAATGTAGGCAAAGACTATGCACATCCAAATCTCATAGGCCAGAGGATCCAAGAAGGAAAACACTCCTGGTTTAGATTTCTGAGGCTTTTTGATCATGATAGATATGCCCAAACTCATGAAGGGCTTAGAGAAGTCAATGACCTCCTCTCGTACCAAAGTGATTGTCAGAGGGGCAATAGCAATCTCTGCTTTCTATAAGAGAAAAGACACATGGAAACACATAGGTTAAAGGATTTCATGAAGCAATTAGCTCTGGAGTGATCCATTTAAAACTAACCAGTCATGCATTCATTTTACACAATTTTTTTTTTGAATGCCAACAATGAATAAGGCCAGTGATAGGTACAAAGATGAATAGTAATTTGTTTTCATAAGATATTACTTAAACTGCATAATACACTTTTTTTGGTGCTAGTAATTAGATAAAAGGATGAGAAACAGAAAGAGTGAATAAGCAAAAATAACTTGAAGTCGAATTACTGTATTACTCTTTGAGGATCTGACACAGTGTAGAGGAGGAGACTTAATAGTCTTTCCATATGACTGAATTTCTGAATTTCTTGGCTAGGAATGCTGCTATGTTGCAGCCTTTTCTGTCTCATTTGGAACATTGCCACTGATTCATTACTTGGCCATCTCTTAATATTATGAATTGCAAATTTCAAACAGTACTTTCTTTTTTATTCTTTTGCAGCTATGAGAAAACCAGTCATGATGTCTGTGTTTGTATGATAAAGAAAACCTATTGTTTGACAATATTTTCCAATTCAGTGCACACACAAAAATCTGGAAATTGGCATTTATTTCTTGCTATTAACATACTTTGATTTTCTACTTTCAATTTTTAAAAAAGAATTTGGAAAACAGTCAATGCAATTTGTATATATTCTGATCATAAGACACCAGTCTCCATTTTCAGAGTTCTGCAATTTTGAGCAATTTCTGTGAACCTATTTCTATATTTCTAAAATGAAGACATTTCCTGTTTACCTCATTGTGTTATTGTGATTATCTATTAAAAACCTTAATAAGATAATAGTGAGCATTTATTCAGGGATTCCGTGTGTGATGTTGATCTAAATATTGTATATGGCTTTTCATTTAATCCTCCTTTATCTTTATCATTCTCTTGTAGATGATGGAACTGAGACTCAGGGAAGAGAGTTTTACACATCATGGCATCTCTGGGATTTGAACCCGGGCATTTCCCATTAAATCATGCCACCTCTGAAATCAAATGAAATAAAATGTGGCGTAAAAGCTAAACTTCCATATGATCTACAAATAAAAAAAGGGGTTTTGATTGTTTGTTTTAAAAGGAAAATATTTGACATCAAGTGGAATCAGAAACATACTCAGACGTATGTGCTCTTACATAGAGACTACCATTTTTACATTCATTCCTATACATCCGTGGCCTCCTGAGTAGATATGATGGCCAGCAGCTTGACACAAGACCAACTGGAGGGTACGGATGGTGAGAGTACTCTGCAGGCAAGCTCTTCACTGGGTGACTGAGAATTGACCATATATGCCTTTAAGTGGGAATAAACTTTGTTCACACCATAAATGCCCTCATATATAAGAGTTATTGCTGGGAGTTATTTTCCCCATAATTATTTGAATAATTTATATTATACAAGTGATATATGAACTAGCTACAGACAAATTAGTAGATAAAAACAGGTCCAGCAAATTAGAAAAAGTTTTCTCTGTTCCTCTCATCTACCGTTGTTTATTCTCTCTATATGCCCTGCTAGACTTTGTTCTACGCATAGTGGTTTTTTAAATGGGATAATGCAGAAATCCAGCAAATTAGAAAAAGTTTTCTCTGTTCCTCTCATCTACCGTTGTTTATTCTCTCTATATGCCCTGCTAGACTTTGTTCTACGCATAGTGGTTTTTTAAATGGGATAATGCAGAAATTATACTATGTAACTCCTCTTTTCTCAAAAGAATATGATGAACATTTTAATGTCCATATACAAATTAAACATAAGTTTTAATGGCTGCAAATATTTCCTCATGTGAAAATGTCAAAATTTGCTCAATTTCTTATTTTGCAGGATATTTATATTGTTTCCAGGTTTACACAATTTAATTTAGTGATGCCATGAACATCTTTGAAGATAAGTCCTCACACCTATCTTAAGATACATTTCTAGAAATGGAATTGCTTATCTAAATAGTAACGACCTTTTTAAGGCTCATGATATGTTTTGCCCAACCTCTCTCCAAAAAGATGGTGTAAATTTTTACTGTCACTGGCACTATATGAAAGCATGTGCAGTATTGAACCTTGGAAACTCTATTTTTATTTATCTGCCAATTTTCTGTATGAAAAATTCAATCTCGATGTATTAATTTGAATTTGTTTTTATAAAGCAAATAGTTGCTTTTATTTCTTTTATATATTAACTATCATAATCTGCCTCATTTTTCCATATGGGGTATTCAATTTTTACTCCTTAATTTGTGAGTGCTTTTAAGTATATTTCCATATATGTTGTAAATATCTTCCCTATTCATCAATTGTTTTGTTTCCATAACTCAGTTGAAGGTGTTTTATTAAAGTACATGTGTTTTAAATTCTGTTGTAAGCCATTAAAATGATCTTTCTGTGTTTTCAGCCTTTGGTTTCATGCTTTAGAAAATCCTTCTCATATCAATATCATACATTTTACTGTAGTACTTATAATCCCTCTATAATTTATTTGGTATATTCCATGATGAAGTGTTGCAAAATTATTAATTTTCCAAGTAGTTGTCCTGCTGTCCCAACAGGAATAAATAAGTAATGCATCCTTTCACTGACTTGAAATGCCACTTTTCACATACAACAATGTTCAGGTAACATCTGAAAGTGTTTGTTTATACAAGTTACCACTAATCAATGGATAAGCCTTAAAAGGAAAGACACACGAAGAGAAATGAAGACGTCCCCAGCACAGAAAGCTAGACGCAATAGACGGCAGACATTGGATGAAGGTGGTGACAATAATGTTCAATGAGGGACACTTTTGAAGTCTGGGATTTGTGAGTTTTGAAAGAGACCAGTAAACAGACAGGATACATATGGACTTTCTGTGCCAACACCGGGGATATCGCGTGTGCCTTGTTTCCTTACGGCTAATCAATTCTCGAAATTTAAGTGTGTAAACTATCTCCTGTAGGAGGAGCCTGGTAAAATTTGGATTCTTGAGTACCTCTGGAGTGAGGCTAGTGAGTCAGCATTTCTACACATACCACAGGAAGTTCTGGTGCTAGCGGGCCACAGAATGTGCTTCGAGCGATATTTCTTTGGATTAAACACACACACAAACAATAACAATGGCAGGGCCCAGGTAAAGGCCCTGGAGCAGCGCAGCACACTACAGGAGCTGAGCTCGACCTTGCTGTAGTGCGCAGGTGTGATAGAAAAAAGGACCTGAAAGTGCAAGCGAGGTTCTGAGCTGCTGGGTCCCCAGTGGTGGTGTTGGATCACATGGGCGTGTTTCGCAGACAATCTATTCATAGTGACTATGGTAAGAAAGTTTGCAAAGAGTTAAAAAAAAAAAAAAAGGATTCAGAGTTTCAAAGTTAATCTGATGGAATGGATTGAGTTTTACCTACATCCCTGGAAACTAGGCATTCACTATGTGTTAGCAGTAAGAAAAGGAAAAAAAAAAAAAAAAAGCCGAGATACAAGTACAGACTATGTAGACACCAAAATGGAAAGTATGAGACATGGAAGAAGATTCCTTTTGGGACAAAAGTGGACAACTCAAGTGGCCTTGGGGTCTTTAAACACTTGCAGACTGGGTGATGAACAAGTATGATATTAATAACCACTATGTTATCTTTTCTCTCTCAAGAACTGTGTGACTTTAGGACTTTTTGTTAACTGTGGTGTGGGTATTACTGATATAATTTTTTTTGTTGTTAATTAGGCTACTCTCTTCTTATAATTTGTTTTCATTATCTAAACAATTTCCCCAGAATAAAACATGTTCAGACACTTGCAAAGGAGTGAGGCTGGGCTTCCCGGTGGGTAGGGACTCTGGAGGAGAGATGTATAACAAATGCCCCAGAAAGTAACTCAGGTTAGTTATGCTGCCCGTCAAGTAATTGGTAATGCAAGTATTATTTTTTGAGATGAAATACTCAATAGTGTTTTTTGAAGGAAATGAATTACTGTAGTTTTTTTTTGTGTGTGTGTGACCGGTAAGGGGATCGCAACCCTTGGCTTGGTGTCGACCTGCACCGCGCTCAGCCAGTGAACGCACCGGCCATCCCTATATAGGATCCCAACCCATGGCCTCGGCGCTCTCAGCGCCGCTGCACTCCCAGCACCGCCACAGGGCTGGCCCGAATTACTGTAGTTCTAACAACTTGGATAATGTTCACATCTAAAATTTGCTTACTGTATCAAAAGCTTAAAATATTAACCAAAGGGCCGGCCCGGTGGCGCACTGCTACAGTGCGTCGCTTTGGAGTGCGCTGGCGCTCCTGCCGAGGGTTCAGATCCCACATACAGACCGGCCGTTCACTGGCTGAGCGAGGTGCGGGGGCAACACCGACGGTTGCGATCCCGTTGCCGGTCCCGGTCCGGTACGGGCGCAACACTGAGGGTTGCGATCCGTTGCCGGTCACGAAAAAAGACAAAAAAAGGAAAAAAAAAATTTTTTTAAAATTTAAAATATTAACCAAAGAACAAATGCTTTAGGAACCCTTTTTCTTTGGAAGTTAAAACTCAATATGAAACTGACAAATACTGTGGTAAAATCCATTTTGTTTTTTATGAACTGCATTTTTTTTTCTCATCTAGGGTGACCTAAGCAGTCAGCAATATTTTACCATGGATGGAAAACTAACCAATTGCTTTATAATGTCAAACAGTTTCCTCTTTCTGCTGTACTGTACTGTGCAGAGAATGTTCATTGCTTCATGGTCTGAAAAGCAAGATGCAGAATCATGAAACTTGAACTGCAGTTCTGGCTCAGAAAGTGAGTTCTTCTGTGGACTTCAGTTATGTTTTTTTGGTGGCTGGCCGGTACAGGGAATTGAACCCTTGATCTTGGTGTTACAAGGCTGTGCTCTAACTAACTGAGCTAACCAGCCAGCACTGATGTTCTAAATTTTTCTATCTTTACTCTTCTCTGGGGAAGGATGGCCCTTCATCTAATTTATCATTTCAAAGGAGTCTTATGAGGATTAATCAGACAGAGTATGCTTTCAAAAAGGCGTAATCTGTGAAATATGAATTGGCTTTTAAGAAATTTAAGATTATATTTCAAGTTCGTGTTACTTTTATTGGTTACTCAATGAATAGAGCTTATTGTGTGCTATAGGTTTGGTTTCTGGACTTTCAAAATATCATAACATCTCTAGCATTTGATAACTGCCAGTTTGATTTTGATACTTTGCAGTGGTAGCTGAAGAGACCAATCTTGATCTTATTGATTCAGGCAGAAACTCTACCATATATTAGCCCTCGGCTATGAATGTGTACACTCAATATCTGGTACATTCATGGGAAGGGCATGGCATGCTTTCATGGAATAAATACTAGCTTTTGTATTATGTTATGTATGCTAGTTTGAAAAAAATGATGACATTGCATAAAGTTTGAATTTACTCTGTTCAGCAGAATTGTAAGAATATCACGTTACTGATGAATATTTTACAGATACTAAAGTAGCATGGTGATTACTTCACCAATTACTTAAAAATATTTATGAGTAATTACAAACAACAGGGACATAAATAAAACCAGCTAAAATAATGAACAACTTTAGACTGTTGTAGGAAATCTGTTCCTACAACAACCAAATAACAGCTTATTAATGGATTTGTTTTGTAGTTCTATTACTTAGTAGCGTTAAGCTTAAGAGAAGAGTCACTACAGATCCTGAAGTCAACTTTTTTTTTAAAATAGGACAGAATATTCTGAATTTTTATCTTTCCTGCTTTTTAAGTTATCTATTGTCAGTTTCTCTCATTGGTTGAGAATTGAATTATTAATGAAATAGAGAAACATTTGAACACCATATATGCCTCTTTGAATACAGTTGCAAATTTAGAAAACAGTAATCGATGTTTAAAAATTGATATGTGTCCAAGTGAAAAGAAGTTTCAGGTTTATGTAAGTAAATTCTTCAATAAATTGATTTGCTTACCCCATAAACAAGTTCTCCTACCATCCCATTCCAGATTTTTGTGTCTGCATCCCTTGCTCCATATTTTCCATCAGGAACAATGGCAATTTTATACTTGATACCAATATGTTTTGCAATTTCAGATGCCAAATCTACACAGTATCCTTCATACTTGTCATTTCCTTCAAACATTTCGTGATTTTTCTTGTACATAACATATGGGGATTCCTATAATGAGAGAAGTAGAACTGTAAAGGAGAAATTACAAAACATTTGAAACCCTTTATGTAACTTTCCAGTTTCAGAATTTGACAAAAAGAGTTTATTTAGTATTGGTAAACATACTGATTTTGTGTGGCTAGAAATCGATAATAAAACAGATGAATATACAAATATGCTTAGAAGTATATTAAATATGTTTACATCGGATACTAAAAAAAAATCTTTAAAATGATTTTCTACTGAGTGATTATTACACACTTAGCACTGTGACTGAGACAGGAAAAATGTCCATAAATAATTGTCTGGAGAAGCATGGGTTATCACTTTTGGCAATTAAATTAATATTTCCAAAATATCTCACCAAGTTAAAGACTATTTAGTAGTCACCTTCATGTAATAAAAGATTCATTCAAGGTCACAGGTTGCTATATTCTGCATCTTTTTTAGCCACATTCAACTGTCATTTCCTTTACGAAAAGAGCTTTTTCAATTTTCTTTTGATCTCTAGCATTTAGCAAGATGCCCTTCTCAGAGAAGGCATTTGCTACATAATTGTTCAAAGAAAAATTAATGGTTTTAAAAATAATTACTTCTTTGCATTAAATTGGATTTCTACATGTTGTCCAGTGTTTTTACTTTAGATAGGGTTTGTGCACCAGGAATTTTAATTGTATTATAAAATATGTCCCTAATGGAAGCTAATAATTTTCCTCCAGTTGTGATGAGCACAGACTACAAGTGATATTCCCATTTAGTTTTCTAAGCAAGTGAGACAGAAAATAGGATAAAGAATTATTGTGAAAATCCTCATAAAATAAAAAAAGTTTACTGGTGGCTAATAATTACTGAACAGTTTCCAGTTAAACACACACACAGACAGACAGACAGACACCCCCCCCCCCCCACACATACACACACACACGATTTCTCAAGTGGAAACCCTGAAGGTGGAAGCAAAGGGAAGGGGCAAATACTAGGAAAGTGACATAAGGGGGGAAGATTTAAAGCTATTATTGCATCCATCAAAATATGTTCAACTAACTGAGATTTCATATTATTTAACAAGGGAGAACAAGATTAAAAAAATGCATGTTTGTATTTTTAGTGAATGAAATTCTTTATATGATCTTTTGAGTAAATAAAGTAGATACAACCCTTCCAGTTTTCCTCACTGTGTCTGGCACATACATGGCACTCAATAAATATAAAGATGCCCTGTTCTAACATCTCTTCTGAAGCAGGTATATGTATGTATGAGTAAAATATTTATTTAATATTTACTTTCATTATTTTTTTCAATTCTCCTTTGGGACAGCAAGGGCCCATCAGGTCTTTGTTTTCCTGCCAAGCAAATGAACAAAGGCAAAAAAACCCCTTCATCTTACTGGAGATGGTAATTAGAAATTTAGCTAGACTTTTTGCACAACCAGGGGCATAAACAATTATTGAGATTTGGGTTGAATACTGAGCATAAAAGAAATAAGATGATCACTTTCAGAGAGGTGGGGAAAACAAAAGGAAAGAAAGTCTAGATTTTTCTTGAACAAAGGCTCTTGTGGACGCTCAGGTCTACTCAATTTCTTTGAGTGTGTTTAATTTTGCTTTTCTTTCATGTCAAATCCAGATGAGTAGCAAATCCTTGACCCTCTCCCAACCTCCTCATTTGCCCCATCCCAATCCAACAAGTTGTCCACAAGTAGCTCTTCAAACACTGATACTGGGGAGATTTAATACAAAGTTTTGAGGCTACTATGGGTGAAGAAAATACCAAATTTTTTCAGTATAAAAAAAATGGTTTCTAGCAAATCATTAAGGAGGATTTGTGGGGCATCTCTTCAAAGCAGTGGAAGGATCAGAGGAGTGGAATATAATCTCTTATTTCTGCCTTAAGAGTATAATCTTCTATATTTATTATCAACTACTGTGCTCTAAGGAACAATAATTTCTTAGAATTTATTTTAAATGCATTAGTTCTTAGTGATTATGAGGTTATTAACACAATTTCCATAATAGATGGTGTTCTACATCTGCTCTGCTATTTCAGAAAAGGAATCACCGTCTGTCTAAATCTGCTACATTAGGGCTTGCTATTAAAATGTTTGTGTTAATGAATTCAGATGGTTTTCAATCAAAGTATAATTTTCCTACCAAGAATTTTTTTTGGATTATTTGTATTTAGCACAACAAAACTTGAAATAAGATACTTACTAGAAAGCCTTCAAGATTTTCAAAACATTACAGATATAATTGCTATTGAGATCAACACACATTGTGTAAATGTATTGAAGTATAACTATGTACCCCACAAATGTGTACAATGTTTCAATAAAATTTTTTTAAAGATTACTACTGAAAACAGTTAAATAATAAAATCAGTACTATTAACCAACATTATTTTCTATGTGGATATTTGCTTTTCTCCAATGAATCTTAATAAATGTAGATAATTTGTCCCACGGGTAAAATTCTTAAAAGTGGAAATTAAGATGTTATTACTCAATTCAGAAAAAATGAGAAAATTTAAGGGCTGCACAATTTTAAGTTTAGCCAAAATAATTTATTTAAAAGCTAGTTTAGTCATAAGCCTTTTGGTGGGAAGTGTATGTGGATGGGGGGAATTAATATTTGGTACAAGGAAGAAAATAAATACATTTTTATTTTCTGTATTTACACGTACATATACATGTATACATCTGTATGTTATATATGCATATGTATATATGTATAGTGCATCTACGAAATTTTACAAAGAGAAGGTAAAATATCAAACATCTCATAAAAACATAAAAGTATTTTATATTTAGAAAGATAAAGTGTGATAAGTAAAATTCCTTTTAGGTTTATAACATAATTCTGATGCTGTAGTGAATAAATTTGGTTTTATGAAAAATTTTTTTTTTTTTTTGGTGGCTGGCCAGCATGGGGATCTGGACCCGTGACCCTGGGGTTACAAGGCTGTGCTCTAACCAACTCAGCTAACCTGCCATCCCCCTTGAGACACATTTTTAAAAGATTGTTGTGCACATAAGATGATAAGAAATATCTTCTTAGCTGAGTAATGCATCAGGAGCATCATTTAACTTCAATAGTAAAGTTTTGCATGGGGATCTGGACCCGTGACCCTGGTGTTACAAGGCTGTGCTCTAACCAACTCAGCTAACCTGCCATCCCCCTTGAGACACATTTTTAAAAGATTGTTGTGCACATAAGATGATAAGAAATATCTTCTTAGCTGAGTAATGCATCAGGAGCATCATTTAACTTCAATAGTAAAGTTTTGAGAAAAAAAGAACTTGTCTGAAATATCGCCTTTTCCAGAGAGTTCAATGGCCAAAGAAAGGGACAGAAGAAAACACTACCCCTTTCTTTTCCCGCAAGGTGTACTGTAAACTTCCTTTTCCTCAATTGCTGTACTCATCCAAACCACAGATTTGGCTTCCTTAGGTTGTTTACAGAAATTATCACTTTGAATGCAAAAAGTGAAATAAGTATGGTTAGAGTCTTATGAACTTTACAGATTTTATAGTTTTTAGTGAATAAGACTTAAAGATAAAACATGATGATATTGACAATTTTAGTTCTATTCAGATTTAGTCTTCTTATATTCAATATGACTATATTCAGATAAATTAAATTCGTCATTGAAATGATCACATTATAGTTATACAACACTGTTTTAAGAAAAAATAAATTGCAACAGTATAAAAAGCTAACACCACATTTTATTTAAGAATGCCTTCTTATATTCAATATGACTATATTCAGATAAATTAAATTCGTCATTGAAATGATCACATTATAGTTATACAACACCGTTTTAAGAAAAAATAAATTGCAACAGTATAAAAAGCTAACACCACATTTTATTTAAGAATGATAGCTAATGTAATTATTGATTATGTTTTCTGTCTGTTTCTCTCACTAGAATATAAGTTCCACTGAGTGCAGGATTTTTGTCTATTTTGTTCTCTGACATATCCCCAAGGTCTATAACTGTGCCTAGCACATAGCAGACGCTCAATAAATATTTATGAATGGATAACTGAATTTCTCAATCAATTTTATTTAACAATAGCATATATCATTACAGTGTATCAACATATAAGTAAGAACATACACAAAGGAAGGACAAATGGAAAAACAGATACACCACATCAATTTGGATCATAATGAATGACTTCCAGTGATCACTCTCAGCCTTTATCTGAATCTAGATATCTGTATTGCACATATTACAATGTACAGCCAACTCCATCTGTGCTGGGCGTTTTCAAATGGGTTTTGGGGATTATTGCATGCAGGTGCCAATATCTCATTCATCTACAAGGAATCATGTTTCAAAATGAACGAGGTGGCAGAGATGTCATAGGTCCTGGGATACCATTTGCAACAAAAGCAAATACAAAGAACACTTTCAGGGAGAAGACTCTAGTATGCCGTTTTCAGTTACTGAATAATTATGCAGTTGCAAAGAGGTATTATTTATATGAAGATTACACTTTCATGCAAAAAGACATATATACTAGTATTGAACTATTTTGATAGCAAAAATATTGACGGTATCACTGTCAAACAACAGATAACTTTACAGAATATTCTTTATATATATAGGAAACAGTTGGAATTTTTTTCAGTCATTTTTATTTATTTTTTGATGGCATGCTTCCTGAAAACTAGCCATACTTGCAAAATTAATTCAGTATTGTGGTTTTAAGAATTATATGTCAAGCCCCTTTAATAACAGGGATGGAAAGAGATTCTCTACATTACACCTATAATCCACATTAAAACACTTTATTTCACACAAAACAAGCAAAATTTTGAAAAAAAATCTTTAAAGAAAACAACTATATATATTCAGAAAACAAGCACACAAATTCAGAGATATTTACTTTTAGAAAATCTACCCTTGGAAATAGGAGTGATATAATTCCATCATTTAGTACAATGACCTTATTTCAAGATATGGGAATTGGTATGTCAGAATCGTTAAGTGATTCTTTTTCAACATTTTATTTATATTTTCTTGAGAAAGATGAAGATTAATTCTTCTTTTGTCCTAGTATCTCAGAATAGTCACAGAACTTTAAAAAAAAAATTTTTTTTTCTGGTAGTCCAGAGTTGGTCATCCAAGAAGAATCCCACATGAAAAATAAGCTTAAATTTACTACACTGGAGAACAAGACTTGAGCCTTAGTTAGGAATGGTCGAACAGCGTGGAACTCTTTTCTTTCTTGATCAATTTCTTAAAATAGGATTCTTCATCAGAGGCTGAAAAGAGGAGGACTGTACTGAAGTATGACTTTCCATTACTGTGTCTTTTTTAGGAAAAGAAATATATATATATATTGCTTTTCAAGTCCCATGCAAATATTATACAATTAAGTAAGAAGGTTTACACAAAAATTGCTGTTGGTTCGTTTGCATTCTAAAATCATAAACTTCAGATCAAGGCTTGTGGGATTACATTAAATTGCTAACTGGTGACGCAACACAGATAAAGCTAATTGCAACATACAAAAGCTTCTCTCTGGCATTTTCACACTTTGACCTCAACGTCAGTTTTGGAAACAACTTGACATTACTAAAAACCTAAAACTAAAATTATGTAAGCTAAAAACTAAATTATACAAAATATTTCCATTTTATTTAGAATAAAGGCTTCCATAAATAATTAAAAATATGTTTTGCCTAAAGAGACAGTGAACTCAGGATATATAACTTTAAATTGGATAGAAAAGGTCACCGATTGTTGATCTTCTTTGACTAGCATTGACTCTAAAGGGCATGTTTGACTTTAGAAGAGAAAAATATATAAGATATTCTGTTATTTAAAAGATAATTCATGAGTACCTCCTTGAAAAAGCAGTCTTAAAATTTACAGTATTTTTCATTTTAGGATATGACTGCATGAAGCAGTTGTATTTTTCTTAATTCCTAGAAGTCCAATAAATTATATTGTGTATTTCTCACTGGTCAATGAGAAAAATAATCGGTGCAAAAAACCCTTTTCACATTAAAAATAAATATAAAACAAAATTGATTTCTAAAGCATTCAGTTATATAAAACATGCTCATTAAAATCTAAACATTCACATCTCCACTATTATAAAGACAATGCAAATCATTAGCAGATGATTAAACTACCTGAAAATTATAATTTTAAGCACTATTGATTTTTATTACATTGATTTTTTTTAAAAACATAGTGACAATATGGTGTTTACTGCTGGATATTTTTATGTGATTGGTTGTTGACTTTTTTCACTTTCACTGTTTTGTGTTTTTGTGTTTTGGGATCTTAGCATTTCATACATTTCCAACTGGAGTTTGACAGTCTCAATTTTCAACATCTGAGCATTTTTTCCAAGAACAACAATGCAACAAAAGATAATACAAATAAAAGTACAGAATGTACTCAAAGCTCAGGACAAACCTATTCAAAGCCTAAATAAACTTTAGTGGATAAGACCCCCATGTCACCACTGCTAATATTCAGCTTTCCCCCTCCCCCATTCACCATAGCTGGGGACTTAAAATTGTCTGTGGACAAAACGGTACACCAGAAAGCATAGACCAAAACTTACCATGATTGTGGTTACAACCACTGTTCTGTTCTCAATAGCTGCTGTGTCATTGCCAAGAGTGGGTACGTCTTGAATCAAAACTAATTTATCCATATCATTCCAGTAACCAACCTGCCAAATAGAGAAAATACTTGAAAACATATTTAGTACTGTAGAATATACTCTAGTTCTTCTCGGAAAAATGAGGGGTATAAATAGTGAGCAAACAAAACACATCTGAAAAGCAAATGAAAAAAAGTATCTGGAAGGTTTCTTAATGGATCAAGAGCCAGTTTTCCTAGTCTTAAGAATACTGCCTTGTTACATATTTGGCAAATTTACAATGAACAATCATGGAGTAGCCAAGACACTGAGAATGGACAGTTCCAAAAGGAATATGGGTATAGATGGAACATAATTTACATTAATACTCTCTTCTAGTGAGATGGACAGGTACCCCCTAAAATTAATTTGTATAAATTTATCAATAAAGTTAAGGGGTCTTAAGAATACTGCCTTGTTACATATTTGGCAAATTTACAATGAACAATCATGGAGTAGCCAAGACACTGAGAATGGACGGTTCCAAAAGGAATATGGGTATAGATGGAACATAATTTACGTTAATACTCTCTCCTAGTGAGATGGACAGGTACCCCCTAAAATTAATTTGTATAAATTTATCAATAAAGTTAAGGTCATAGGGTAAAGGGAATAGGCGGATTTATAAAGGGATTTATGAATCTGATTTATATAGGATATTTTCAAGTAAAAAAAAACTTGTGTATTTTTAAAGTAATAAAGAAATGGTTTTTGGTTTGATACAACCTAGCCACTAGTTAAGTCTTAACATTTCTAAAATGCTAACTACATAACAGATGAATATTAACAAAGTTTTCACTTTTAAAGAGTACATTTAAATTTGCATTTTTTTCATTTTTAAATCCTTATATTATTTCTTATTTAGAAGTGCAAAAACACTTTCCCATAAAATAAATTAATTAGTTAAGCACTTTAAGAAGTAATAAACTACAACAGGATCTTAATGGAAATTTAGAATTCTTTGATTCATGCAGACCATTAAATAAACCAACGGGGGTGGGGGGTGGGGAAGAAGACACAACAATCACAACAATTCTTGGAACTTGTTAAGACAAGGGAACAGATATTATGTTGATGTGGGGGAAGGGGGAGAGAAAGGAGGGAAAGAGGAATTGGTAAAGGGACATGAAATCAACTACATTGTATATTGATAAATTAAAATTAAAAAAAGAAAAGAAAAAAGGAAATATCAAAATGTAAAGCTTCCAGGAATTCAGTAGTTTGGTTATTGATTTAGAATCACAGACTAAAATTGTACAGATGCTATACAGATGCATGTGTGTAAACTGATACACAAACTACCATGAGTGAATTACTGAATTTAAAAATGTGTGCATTTGGGGCCGGCCCGGTGGCGCACTGCTATAGTGTGCTGCTTGGGAAGCGCGGCGGCGCTCCCCCCGAGGGTTCGGATCCCACATACAGACCGGTT